ATGGTCATTCAACTTTCGATGCTCGATCTTAGTGGCAAGTTGAAGAAAACAACTCGAAGAGGCATTTCACTCTTGGATCGAGTTATGCTTACTCGACCAGAGTGGGGGGGAGACTAGATGATATAGGATATTATACCGGACCCTGTTTAATGGATAAAGCGGATACATATTAGAAGATAAGCCTACTAAGACATCTAAGTCCAACTTGGGCCCAAAAGGTACACTCCCCCCTATAAAAGTGGGCCAAGGTACCTCATTCTCTTATCTTCTACTCATTTCATTACTACACATTCTCTCTCTTGATCTGAGCACTGACTTAAGTATCGGAGGCCCGACACCGGGGCCGCCCCTGGCGTTGGGTTCTGCAGGTACGGAGGTCGGTTCGAGTTGAAGGAGCCCGGGTGAATCTTATTCACTTCAAAATCTCAAAGGATCAGAATCAGTAAAAATGCACCCCCAAATCAGCTACCTATTTTGTGCAGATTATACTCTCATCTTTTGTGAAGCTGACAACTCCCAAGCTTTAATTATTCTTGATATCCTCCAGAGCTACAAAAATCTCATAGGCCAAATGGTGAACTTGGACAAATTCTCCATCATTTTTAGCAAATTATACACACCAAAAACCCCAAAACCAAATTTGTCACACTTTCTTGGAAATCACAACTTAAACCTCCTCTAGATATTTGAGGGTTCCTCAAGGCATTGAGAGATAAAAAAACGAAAACTTTCTCATTTGTGGAAAAATTAGTCAAAAATAGAATTTTAAATTGGAAAAAAAAAGTTCCTCAAGGTTTTTTTTTTTCGAAACGGCAGATTCATTGACTAAAACACATAATACAATTGGCTAACTAGTCGAAATAAGAGGACTACACAAGACAGCCTAAATACCACAACACAAACTATAAGACTAAAAAAAAAGAAAATAAAGAGCTCCCAACAGGATAATAACATACTTCCAACGGGAGCATAAACAACCCCAACAACCACAAAACAAACACAAAAACACTCACAACAACTAAAAGAAAAAAAAACACCAAAAAGGAACTGAAAAACGAGCAAAGCTTCCCAACAACCAACAACCGCTCCAACACAACACCACACAAGACGAGAGCCAACCCTGACACCTCCTGAAAACACCATAGCTCTGGACACAACCTATCCACTCCCTTACCAATAGATGACGGCTAACATAGATCCACCATGAACGAGCTCGAAGCTGCACCCAAAAGGCCCATACCAAGCCCTACCCTCTGCCCCCCTCCCCTGCCTCCACAAGCCCGACGAGAACCCTCGACACAGTCCGATTAGCTCCAATTGGGATGGCAATAATCTTGATTATAGAAGCTTCAAATACTAGTTGACCAAACTGTACAATCTCAACAAGTTTGCAATATTATCTTGTGGTGGATTCGGATGTCAAGAAGCATGCTCCTGTT